GTATGTATGTATGTATGTATATTAATGTTTTTATATCACAAATTTCGTTTCTAATTTGAACAGTATGTTTCCTAGATAACAAACATGTTAAAATGTAAACATCTTCATAATCATAAAGATCATATCAACATACAAACATATAGTAGATACTATCATACTATCTGACCCCAGCTAAAGAAGAGGGGTCAACTTGGGAGTAAGGCCACAGGTGGACGAGGAAGGGCCCCTCCCAGAGGGAATAAAAGAGGAGCGAAAGGGGAGTGGAGTTTGCAGGAGAGACAATTAGTTCGCTTCATTGGTTCGTGACCCTCCGAGGCTCCTGGCCAAGTTTTGCAGAGATCGGCCTGGCAGCTCTCCAAGCCAGAGTGACTGTAAATCCTCCCTCGAAACACTTTGCTGGATGTGAATGAACAGAATTCCCAGTGACAAAAGGGTTTTTGTCGGGACAAGGAGTCCCTCTCGGGAAGCCTCAGTCGGAACAGCTCGTCCCAGCTGAGAAGCTGAGGAAGAGGAGAAGGCGGCTGGACTGACTGGCTGGCACTCACCCGTCACAGACTTCCTTGATGATGGAGACCAGGGGCCGCTTCTGAAAAGTGCGAGAACTGTGAACTAGGCGGCATCTCTGGACCAAGCTCTGCCTGTCCCCACCATCATCCACAGCCGCCCTGCTGTGGCTCACTGCCCAGGCCCCACCCGCTGCCAATACCTGGGCAGCCTTTACTCAAAGCCCACCCCGTCTCTCACCTGGTCAAACTCGAGCAACTGGGCGTTGGCACCAGGCCACTCCACGGCCACCTTGACTATGTCTGGAGGAGGAGGAGGAGGAGGCATCTCTAGGGAGATCCAGCTCTCTCGTTAGAAAGGGGGACCGCCCTCCAAACCTGTCATAGCAGAAAAGGGTTGGCAGGTGGGCCGCTTTTCCACCGCAGGCCCTTTCCCGGTTCCAGCCCAGGGATCAGTCGAGGGCCTGGGTCGGCTGCGCTCTCTGGGCCCCACCTGGCACTGGCAGCTTCCCAGGTACAGCCGAAGTGATGGGACTGCTGTCCTTTCAGTGGGGCACATAGAATGGGGAGGGGGGCATTGGTGGGGATACAATCTGACCGGCTGGGTCCCATGAGGAAATTCTCAGCTCCAGAGGGAGGCAGGTGGACCTGAATGATCCTGACCCTGAGGGGCTGTGGGGAATTGGCAGCATCCGGAATTCAGGGGCGACTAAAGCCGAGGAGAGCCAGACCGGGACTTGGACTTCAGAAGCACAACACGCAGAGAGAATCCCCCCTCCCCCCACTGCGGAGGGCAACCCCGTTCAGAAACCCCCAGGTTGATGGGTGGGGGGAGGGGGAGGCACTCAGTGAAACAAATTCAGCCTCCATACTTCCCCACTTCAATGGCAGGTTCCTCCTCCAGCTGCTCTTTTTGGTCACTCAAATGTCCTCACTTTCCACCTGCCTCCCAACAGGAAGTCTGGTCAACCAATCAGCGCATCTCCACGCACGGCATCATCCTCCTCGAGGCTTTTGTGTGTGTGGGGGGGGGGGTACGTGATGTAGGCCCGTCTGCAGCCTATGCTTCCCCATCAACCCCTCCGCAGCACAGGTACGCGTGGATGTTGTCTAAATCAATCTGAAGCCAACTGGGCTGACCTGCCCAGCTGGCCCCCAAGCAAGAGGACCCTGACCCACTTCCAGGACTGGCAGGACAGCAGATGCCTTCCTTGGCCGAATGACTGTGGTTTACTGGCTGCTGAGGGGGAAGGAGCCCCCATGGCCCTTCCGAAACAAGCTCCTTTGGGCCCAGCAGCACTAATTGGTCAGCCCTTCTTCATAAACAGGGACCGTTGCTGGAAGCCCCAGGAGGGAAGCCGAGAGAGACGGAGCGAAGGAAGACACGGAAAGGGTGCAAAACGAAGGGGGAGGGCCAGCCTCTTGCTCTTCCCTTCTCCAAACTACTTTTGACAGGTATGGAAAGCAGTAAAACCAGCCAGTCACCAGAAGGGCCTGAACGGCAGAGGCTGCTATTCGGGCTCCTACTCAAGACCCTCATCACACGAGGCGGAACACAAGGAACCAGGGACGCCTCCAATGAGCCACCGAAGCGGAGCCAGAGAAGAGCCTTAGCGGTTACACGGCTGCACTTCCTGGGCGTGAAACTGATCGACCAAGAGGTCCGAATCCAGCCAGAGACCGGCGGCTTTCAGGCGCTCAGCCGCTCGGATCCCCTCGGAGGCTGGGAAGAGGGAAATGGGGGGGGGGGGGGGGGGGGGNTGCATACTCAGTCTCAAGGCTAGAAGGCTAAGTTAACCCATGATTGGATTCCCGGAGCAGCACACAGGAGAAGAGTCCAGTTTTCTCGTCATGGGATGAGGTCATTTGGGCTTTTTAAAACATCCTGACTATCCCATTTCCATTTCATTGAGATTTAAGCATGTGGACCCTGCATGAGTCACCATTTGCTTGATCACATAATAATATGAGCCGTGGTGGTGCATTGGTTAGCGCAGTACTGCAGACTACTGCAGATCAAATCTCACCAGGCTTGATCAAGGTTGACTCAGCCTTCCATCCTTCTGAGGTGGGTAAAATGAGGACCCAGATTGTTGGGGGAAATATGCTGACTCTGTAAACCACTTAGAGAGGGCTTTAAAGCACTCTGAAGAGCTATATAAGTCTAAATGCTATTGATATCTGTGATCTTCCATGCTGGCTTCCCCACTTGCTATGCTTGTCAAAGCTGGCAGGAAACTGTGAGGGTTTCTTTGCTTAACAAACCATAATCTCACTTAGCAACAGCAATGGGGACCATCTGGATTGTGGTTGCTAAGCGGTGTGGCCCTGTGACATCATGCTTTACAAGAGCAATGCTTAGTGACAGATATTCCAATCCCAATTACTATTGCTAAGTCAGGTCTACCTGCAGAGTTAGTGATCGCAAGCTGGGGAATAACAAGAAAAACAACACACAGCCCCATAATAACTTGCCGCAGTCCACAGGACAATTCTCCAAGGGACAACTCGCCATGCGACAATTCACCACAGGATAAAAGTTACACTAATATCCAAGAAATAATGGAATAGATTCATTAAAGAAAGGACCCCCAAGGAAGGATGAAATGAAATGTAAATAACAAAAATTAAAATAATTTTTAAAACTATTTTAAACAATTACCGCATTTTTCGGACTATAAGACGCACCGGAGTATAAGACGCACCATGATTTTGAAGTGGTAAATTAAAAAAAAAAGTTTTGCACTCTGCACGACTCTTTTTTTTGCAAAAAAAAAAAAAAAAAGGGAGGGGCATGCAGAGCTTTGGGAGGCTGGTAGAGTGCTCCTGGGGGCTGAGGGCAACAACGGATCCGTTTTTTGCTACTTTTTGCCCTCCCCAGCGCCCAGGAGCACTTTGCAAGCCTCCCAAATCCTCTGCACGTCCATTTTTGCAAAGGGGGTGGGGTTTCAGTAGGCCCAAAATGCTGTATTCAGTGTATAAGACACACCCAGATTTTCACTGTCTTTTCTTGGGGGGGAAGGTGCGTCTTATACTCCAAAATTATGGTAAATTGAATTGCTAAATTATCCCGCAGCAAATTGTCCTGTGATGAAATTGGCTACGGCAAGTTGTCCCATTCCATTTTTCAGACTGCTTACTTGCACTTAGCAAAGCCCATCCTCCTCCATGGATGTAAACGATGCTGCGATGTAACGTCTTCTGGCTGACCTGTGTATCTGGCTGATACACTCGCACCTCAACACCATCAAATATGGCGTCTGTTATCTTCACAGGCCGTGCAGAGGGCATGTTCTTGCTCTCCAGCCAAGTAACAAAACTATTTAGCAATTTTGCATGGTGGCCCAGTCCTATGTAATGAGCCAGGTCGCACTAAGGAAAAAAAAAACCCAGAAACAGTGAAAAGGCAAAGGATTGGAGAGACATCCTACATAATTAAATCTATAGGCACACATTCGGTATGATATACATATAAACCTTAATACTACAGTAACTACAGTAGAATATAGCTGCATCAGAAGCCCTGCTGGGGGAATGGTTAGAATGCAATGCAGGTAGTCCCCACTGTACGACCACAATTGAGCCCAAAAAATTATGTTGCTAAGTGAGACACTTGTAAGTGAATTTTGCTTCATTTTATGACCATTTTGTGACAGTTGTTAACGGAATCAAGGCTGTTATTAAATTTGTAACGAGATTGTTAGGTGGATCTGACTTCCTCGTTGAACTATGTGTGATGATTTGCTTAATGACCACATCACCATGTTACTTGGACCCCTGACACCATGCTTGTCAGAAAAGGGGATCATGTGACACCAGGACACTGAAACCGTCATAACCATGAACCCATTGCCAAGCATCTGAATTTTGATCATGTGACCAAGGGGATACTGAAGTGGTCGTAAGTATGAAAAAAGCCACAAATCACTTTTTTCAATGCTGTGGTAACTTGGGTCAGTAAGCGAATTGTTACAGGTAGTCCTCGACTTACAACCACAATGGGGCCCAAAATTCCTGATGTTAAGTGAGACATTTGTAAGTGAATTTTGCCCCATTTTATGACCTTTCTTGCCACCATTAAGTGAAACTTTGTAGTTGATAAGTTAGTACCAACTTATGCAAATCTGGCGTCCCCGTTGGCTTTGCTTGACAGAAGGTCACAAAAGGTAAATCACATGACTTTGGGGCACACAGGCGATGGTCATAAGTACGAACCAGTTGCCAAGCATCTGAATTTTGATCGCACGATCATGGGGAAACTGCAAAGGTTGTTCCTGTGAAAAACAGCCACAAGTCACATTTTTAGTGATTTTGAAAGGTCACTAAATAGAATAGAATAGAAGAACAGAGTTTGAAGGAACCTTGGAGGTCTTCTAGTCCAACCCCCTGCTTAGGCAGGAAAGCCTACACCACTTCAGACAAATGGTTATCCAACATCATCTTAAAAATGTCCAATGTTGGATTGTTCAGAACTTCTGGAGGCAAGTTGTTCCACTGATTAATTGTTCTAACTGTCAGGAAATTGCTCCTTAGTTCTAAGTTGCTTCTCTCCTTGATTAGTTTCCACCCATTGCTTCTTGTTCTACACTCAGGTGCCTTGGAGAATAGTTTGACTCCCTCTTCTTTGTGGCAGCTCCTGAGATATTGGAACACTGCTATCATGTCTCCCTTAGTCCTTCTTTTGGGGCAAACTAGACATACCCAGTTCCTGCAACCCAGTGGTGGGTTTCAAAAA